TACTGTACTTAATTGTATTATTTTACTAAAAACTAAGGCAAACTGCTCCCTTTGTTCTGGTGCCATACTAACACCACCTCTAATTGCTAGCTTGTTTCTATACACAGTACCACTACATCATCTCTTGTTCTTTTTATTTACTGTTCCTTCAAAGCAAGTCAGCTACAGCAACTTTTGGCCAGCTGTCAGTCCACTTAATAGGCCACATTCGTTATTTACAGTTTATGTTATCCCTTTGACCTAGTTCAGCTTTGCCCCTTCTTTTTACCCAGCAGGTCCCACAACTATTGTCAAAGATAAAATATATCCAGATACCCTCAGCTGCAAAGACTCCACCTTCACATCAACACACAGCTCTCAAATAGTGTGTGAATTACCACCAAACCAAGCAAAAATCCACATAGGTAAATTAATGTACCCTTAGAAAACATAATTATTTCTTCAGCAAGAAAATGTTTCATCTAAACATCCTTATTTACTGCTTTCTATTCTTCAGTCACCCCAGTAACTGCCAGCTGTTTGGCTTTCTAAAGCTTTTCCCTCAGCTGACTCTGCCCCATTTATCCTCAGCAGCTAGCTCTGAGCTATCATCAAAAGTAGGGAGTCTCATTATGTCAGCTGCAAGGTTATTAGTTTATTCATAATGCGTAGCTCCAAAAAGGGAACTATACTGCAATCAAACCCACTATCGTACAACAAATGAACAAATACTCTTCACCCAGAGAAACCAGGACAGCTCCTTGCTCACCCAGGACAAGCCTCAGGCAGACTCCTGGGCTCACCATGCCTTGTTCACTGTATCCACCCATCCTGGGAAGCAGAAGGCGGCAATGACCAGCCAGGCAAGCCCGATCTACTCGGAGGTCCATGAAGCCAGCAGGGCTGCCAGGAGGCAGCTTGGCCACTGCGAAGGCCTTGGCCAACTGAGGAGATGGCATGGAGCTGCTGGTAAGACAGGGCTGAAGGTGGCTATAGCAGTGCGAGATGCAGCCACTGTGATGGACAGTGTCACCATGGATGGCAGGACACTGCAGGGGGGCTATGGGGGAGACAGCTGAGCTACACGTGGACTTCACAGAAAGCCAGGGAACTGGAGGGGAGTAATGAGAACATCTTGGGGAGTATGATCTTGCAAAGCCAATATCACATAGGTTGTTATTGTTATCAATATTTCCATAAAAGGCCAAGATCACCTAGGTAATGGTATCAGAAATATCAAATTTGGGTAGAGATATAGCAAAATGAGAACCAATGTGACAAAAGTAACTTAGGGACAGGTTGCTTTTTCAGGAGGACACTGGGGTAGAGAAGGAAGGATGCAAGGACAACAAAGCAAGAGGGACCAGGGACCAAGGAAAAGGATAACACGGCATGCTGATCATGTGCCTGCTGCTGTCAGGGTGTTCTTGTCAGGCAGCCCTGCACTTAATCACCACATCTGGAGGAGGACAATAAACAAAACACCCTGTGCTGATCATACTGTAAGGGTCAGGAGTGCCGAGGGAGGTGCCAGGTGGGTGCTTCCCCTGCCTGTCCAGCAAGTACCCAGATGGACCACATGTCCCAGTATCACCACATTGGTGCTCGATCCAGGCCTGAGGGTAACAGTACCCACCAGTTCACAACATTATTACTGTAATTCTTATTGGCATACCTCTGCAGAAATGCACTCATCACTGTTCCTAGGATTCACAACAAAATTGGTGCTGGACTCAGGGAGCACGCACTGCAGAGTCTTATGTTGAGTGCAGCATGTGTACAGTAGGTACACTGTCTCCGAGGGATGTCAGACTGGGTGAACGCATGCTGCACACCTGCATGCCCAGGACATGGTTCCAGTTACCCTATCACACAGTCAGAGCTGCAGTTTCGGAGACCTGGCAGGTCTCAGGGAAGCCTGGGCTACACGTGGAGTCTTCAGACTTTATGTGGACATAGTTTCTAGAAATGTTGAAGAAAGTAAATATGTGGTGACTTTCTATCAGCTCCTCACTTCCCAGCCTCTGAAAACAGGATTATTCAAACAAAAAATTGCTACATTTTGGTTCTCTTGATTTTTTAACTCCCCTTGCTCCCTACCTCCATGACAAAATGTATTGCTAATATTCCCAGGGACATTAAATCAAGTGCCTTTATCCTCAATACAGAAGTTCTCACCATTTATTTATGTTACAGGACTCTATAGTTGCCTTTAATCTCCAACAATCTCCAGCTTTTACTTCTCTCTGTTTACTCAGACTTACATGTTTTCTCCCCAGGCCAAGGGGACAGTTTTAAGAACTCCCACTACTTTTCCCTCCTAATCTTGCAAGTAGATGACACTTCAGAACTTTTTAGTTCCCTTCCCTCCTCTATTTTTTTCCTTGGTCAAGTGTTGAAGGAGTGGGAGCAACATCACCTCTTTCTCAAATGAGCTGATAATCTTTTATTCCTTATTTCTCTCTCTTCTCACGTACACTGTCAACTGCACTTGAAGTAAAAGAAGTAGAGTTTTGCTTGGTTTCTGTGGCAGTCTTAATTGACAGCTTTCCAGAAGAAAGGCAAGTGGGGTCAAGCAGAAGCAAAGCTTGAAATTTTCTAGGGACTGTCTATCCTAAGTTGCAAACAGCACCAGACAAATTCTGATGTTAGTTTTAAGCTGCTGTGAAATCTTCTGCCTAACGCTCAAGCCTACAACACACCCTAACACTGTCATTATCTGATGACTTTTTAGTTGATGTTACTGTGTTGGACAGAAAGTCTCTTCTCCTCTAAGTACTTTTTCCTGTATGAAAGAACAGTCACTGAGCTCTCCTTATGGGAGGAATTCTTCCTCAATCAAAAATCAGAGAACATGGCCAAAGCCTGGATCTTGGATCTAAGTGAAGATGAAGTTCTAATTTGTATGCTGGGTTTATGGCAGATGCAATATCTTGAACCAAATTACAAATTAAATCCTTATGATCTCTCAGAAAGTTCATAACTCAAATTTTGTAGTACAGAACCAGCCAAAACAACATCAGCTTTAGTCACTAAGAAGCATAATAACAGAATGTAAGGTATTTCCTCATATTTTTCTTTTATTGATAGGCTGTTACAGGGCACTCGGAAGTATACCAGTAATTTAAAAAACAAGCAAACTAATGTTTATTTCAGTATTTGCTTTGGTTATACTTTTTACCAATGCAATCTTGGAAAAATGGTTTGCACTATCCTTTTTCAAGATACAGTCTGAATGTGTTACAATAAAAATTTTAATTTACTAGCCTAGTTTTACAGAACATAATTTTTATAGCTAGAGTTTTTATGAATTCTGAATCTGCTCATCATTAGCCAAATCACATAGCACATAGTAAGAACTTTTAAAGGACACTAAGTCAAAAGTCGCAGAACATTTTAATCAACTAAACCTTGTAATACACTTGTCACCCAGGTATTACTGACTTTCTAGTGTGCAAATTAAAACCTAAATTTAAACACTAAAAAGAAGCTCAAGGTCCCGTGGTAGATTATAGCAGAGCCAGAACCTGAGCTCCATGATTCCCAGTTGCTGAACAAGAAGCCTGAGCACTTCTGCATATCTGGGATTGTGAAATCTTCCCATGAACAGGAAGGGAAGGAAATAAATGCAAACAAAAGGATGATCACTTCTCTAGTGTAGAGAAACACTCCCAGATTCCCTGAAATGCCTTGCGACAAGTTCTTGACCATACAGACAATTTGTTGAAACTGGATTGACAGTGGCTACAATTTCTGACCTTGATCTCAGCATATAAACAGTTTTTTATTATGTCAACTTTAGGACTGCTGTGTTAAGCACTCTTTGGAAAAAGACAAGCTGGCAAAATTTAACCACTCATGTTTCATCTATGCACCATCTGCATAAGTAACAATCTCCATTTGTCAGAAGAAATTAAGACATTGCTTTTGTGTGACTGCAAAAACAAGCTGGCAGTTCACTCAGTGATTAAACGATAGTAATTTGATGTACTTCATGCTGATCACTGTTATATTGTACTTTTATTATATTTGTTGATAGTTTAAGTACTCCAAATTGGGCAAAAGAGCATAAACTATAATATACAGAAAGCAAACTATTATTTGAATCATCATCTATGTTTCTTAGTTTGAGTGAAGTGCTTATGAAACACTTAAAATCTAGGGCTAGATCTTCTGTTTCTACCAATCAGTGGCTTCAGTGAAGAAATGGGGATTTACAGTCCTTAAGGATCAGTCTTATATGTGTTCATTTTTCTCTGTTCTGCAGAGATGGGAAAATCAAAAGAGATTGTTGTATTAGATCCTTACAAGTACAGAGCTTTTTAGCTTGTAAATGTGCAGCATTAGAGGAGTTAGAGCAAATACCTGTGAGATGGGATGCAGTTCCCTTACTAGAGTACAGGAAGGACTTCTAAATATTATAGAAACTAATACTTTGTTTTCTTATACAGACAGTCAAAAATCATTTCTTACCATAATACCTCGGTAAAGTTGTTTGACTATATTAATTTGGAGAAAACAAAACAAAACAAAACAAAAAAACAAAACCAACCAAAAAACCCCCAAACTATCCATCCATACTTAGAAAATATTCATGACACAACAATTTAATAATCTCTATTAATTTCCCTTGTGCTGTTCTCCTCTTATGTAATTATTTACTTATTTCTGTATTTATTTGCAGGACGTGTGAAGAACTACATGAATTTCTCTCCCACTGTTTTATATGCATTATCTACAAAATCGTAAAATATATAGAAATACTAACTGTTTGGGTTGGTTTTTTTTTGTAAATTATCCCAAACATCCTTTGGTGTTTCTAGATTTTTCTGGATATTTTCATACCTAGAATGATTGCAGTACTGTAGAGGTAAATCTTATTAAAATTACATTTCTTATTCTGTTCCACACCAGTCTGATACATGCAGGCTTTAATGCCTTTCTGTTCTGTAGTAGGATCCACAATATATCTCAATGAGAAAACCCACCACAGTAGTATGGGGAGAGTGATCTTTCATCACCAGCTGTCCTCCTACTTCGGTTTAGAGATGAAACAAGGAGATAGTCCTGTTCAGAAAATGCAGATGTTCAACTCACACTCCCACACCACTCAAGTTCTTTGTAAAGGTTGGAAAGTTTCTGAAAAGTTTCTGATCAAAGTTTAAACAGTGGGATTGTATCGTGAGTGTTTATAGATTGGAAATTGAACAACTTGAACAAAAAGAGCTGATAGATGACTGCAAGGGTTTACTATCTATCTGGACTAACAATAAACTTTACAGCTAGAAGTTAAATAAACACTTCTCCTCCCTTTTGCTAGAGTAGGAACTTGGTAGTCAGCACACAATAACAGTCATTAATGCACATTTTGTCGCTTGTCTGAGATGTGAAGGTCTTTGAAGACACTGGGAAGGAAATCTATTAATCCCATGTAAACTGGGATTAGTATTAGATTTCAACTGCAGATGGCAGCAAACCCACAAATATATCTGCAGTCTCACCCAGGTAATCTTTGAACCATATACAAAGAGGAAAAAACATGCTTTAGCATACACTGTATTTAAAAATGAGAACACATTTTCTAAATTAGAGGGTGACATAGCTCACAGAAATATGCAGAATTTTTTTAGAAACATCCAAATGCCAGTAAATGATGAGAGGTGACAGCTTCCCCAGTGAAGGTGCCAATCACTTGCATAGAGTCCCAGAAAAAATGACAGTGAGCATGGGTTGTCGATTCTCCCTGCCTTCTGTCGGGCCCTCTAGCAGTCCCTGCAGCTCTGCAGTTATCAGCAGGAGGAAGGAAGTCTGGTAAAACAGGACACTTACATGTCCTTGCCTCACAATTTAATTCAAAATAATCAGGGAACATCAAGTAAGGACACCATGACTGAGACAGATAACAGTCAATATGGAGCCAGCAAAATTTCCCGTCAGGAGACTGGCCTCAACACCTACACACGGGGAGTAGACCAAGGGGAGGCGATCCACATCTGCCTTCAACGAGGAGACAGATGACGTGTGACAGGGTGCAGGCACCGTAGCAAGAGATGGGCTTGTAATGAAATTGCTGAGTTGGGTGTGTGCTACAAGTAGCACTGGCAGGACCCTGAAAACAGAGGAGGAGGATGATCTGAACGCACCTGAACAAAGCACCTTACTGTGTACATTAATGAAAAGCTGATCTTGAAGATCACGGAAAAGATTCACCCCGGGATACAACCTAAATGGTGCTTTTCTAGACTGCATTTCAGGAAGCCTGCAATTGTTTAATGGCCCTGGGCTATGGGGACACCCTTGTCTCATCAGTTGAAAGTCTGGCTCTTTGTTTCTGCACTTTCCTGAGATAATTTACAGTAGTATAGATACAATATTCAATCCATCACTGAAATAAGGAGCAGTAAGACAATGTAACTGTAGACAGCAATCAGATCAGGTCTCATATTTTAATCCGCATGAGGGGAATTTAGGGCTCATTTTTATCCTCTCACCCAGGGGGAGCCCTGGGCCCATGCATCACTGAAAGGCAGGCCAACAACTCCTATTCATCCATGCTGTTGATGAAATTTTTTTTCATATTCACAGGCCTATAGAGATTAAAGAGGTATATCCACTGTCTTCTGAACCATTAGGTACTAGTTATATATTATTATGAGCAAAATTAACTTCTGTAGATTGTTTTATAACGTTTATTGTCTATTCCCTTTTACCTCAGCTGCTACCTTTGCCTCTTATGTATACACATCCCTTTCCCTAACACAGTGGGTATTGCTATTTAAACTTCCTTTATTTTTTATTTCCTTTTCTTTCTTAATGGCTGGAAGATCACAGGAGCTGTGTTTTACTGCACCTTACCCCTGGTGCAAAGCTTTATCAAAAGGCAAGTTGTGCATCGAAAATCCAGTCTGATTCCAGAAATCATATAACTCAGGGCTGTAAATTCATCAGCTGAAAAACAGGCCTATGGGCTGATTCTTAGCACTTACACACTGTTTCTTTGTAGGTTCCTCAGCACCAAACACATCCTGTTACGTATAAGAAGATAACAGGTAAAGTCAATCCCAAAATTGCTACTGAAGTTAGTGAAGTGAGGATTTTATACTAAATCTGCAACCCAGTGACCCTTGGTGTACCAGATTACTCTTTTTTTTTCCTTCCCCAAATGAAAGGAAAGCATGCTGGTAGGAACTCAGCTTCCCAAATAAACTTTGTGTTTATTTAATCTACTTCTTATTGGTATCTTGCCTCAGTGTGACTCCTGAGGATTGAGCCCAGCAGGAACTGAGATGTAAGAGCTCTGTCTGACCATGCCTGACCCTGGGTTCTTCCCACAACAAACCCAACATCTCAGTGCTGGTTCTGTAACAGGAGGAAGGTGACAGACAGTGTAGCCATGTCTTTTGGAAACAGTTATTGGGATTTAGCATTCTTCTCTCTAGGAGTGATGGGAAGAACAATTCAAAAAGTTTCCCTTTGGAGATGTCAGGGCCCTGAGGGCACCCATAGGCCTTAATGGCCCTGATCAGACTCATCTGGGGCCTCCCCCGAGCCCTGTCCATGGGGCCCAGCTCCCCATTTCAGCTGAGCATGGGGCTGTCAGGCCCTGCCTGGGCTGTGCAGGAGCAGTGCCAGTCTTTCACCTCTGGCTCTGGCCCGGCCTCCTGGATGCAGATGGAGCAGAGCAGTGGGCAGCCTGTCTCCTGGGTGGCCCCTGTGGTCGTACCTTACAGTTTGTTTCCAGTCCTGCCTCTGGCCCCATCCCTTGGATGAACTCTGGAGCCATGTTGTAGCCTTGTCTCCAGTCCTGCCTCCAGCCCCCTCCGCTTTAGCACCGACAGGGGCCTTCGGATGGTCCCTGGTCCTGGTTCTTCACTATCCCTGTTGAAGGACTGACCCTGTTATGGCCCCAGCTCTGCGCACACTGGTCAGACCCACCAACCAGTGAGGGCATGGCCTGCACTGGGGTCATCCTTGGGACCCAGCTCATCCATCCATAGGGAGCAAGCAGCTCTCATTGAGCCCTGACAAGAAAAAAAACAGTAAAACTACTCATATTTGATCATGAAGAGCTAGCAGTGCTGCTTCTTACAAACTCTCTGAGGAAAGGCAAGGAAAGCATACTCTTAGCATTGCAGTAGTGAGACTGTTGTAGGAAGGACTTGCGGGGAGTGGATAATGAGAAACAAGAAGCTCTGATGTCTCATTAGCATCTTCGCAGGTAATCTAGTCTTCTGTCATCACTGTTTGATATAGCACTTTCCAGGCACAACCCAATCAGCATATTGAATAGGACCTTTAAGGCTCATTTGGGAAAACTGATTTTATTTCCATCTGCATGTGCAGAGTTGCACAAATTGGCTGAACTATAGAGAAGTGACAACTGTTTATTCACTGGATGGTACTGTGAGACTACAGCTTCTTGATGATTACCCACACTAGTTGAACTTGCACTAACCTGTTTTACAGCCTTTATCATTCTGCCTTAATCAGATTTGAGATTATTCAGTAAATACTGAGGTCTTGGAAGGAACGAAAAGTACATATTAAAACTTTTGTCAAACATTCCATTGTGATTTGAAACCAAACGACAACTGAGCGCCACACAGCCATTCACTCACCCCTTCCCCACCAGCACTGGGAAGAAGAAAATGAATCAAAAAGGCTCAGGAATGGAGAAAAGGACAGGGAGGGGTAGCTCACCCATTAGGGTCACAGGCAAAAGCTTCCTCTTTAGGGGAAGTAAAAAGAACATCACATTAATTAAAACACTAAAAACAACCACACGACAGAATGGGACAGTAAGAAGTGTTACCACATCTTAAAAACACTTGCCCCCACCCTTCCCTTCTTCCCAGGCTCAGTTTGTTCCCAATATCTCTACCTCCTTCCCCTGCAGCACAGGGGCAGGTGATGTGGGGCACAGTCAGTCTGCTGCTTTTTCCTCCAAGGGATGGGGGGAAACATTCTTCTGTATTCTTCCCCGTGCTCCAAGTGGCCTCCCTCTCATAGGAGACAGTCTTCCACAAACTTTCTCTGTCATGAGTCCTCCCCATGGGATGCAGCCATCCCCGTGCTGCTCCAGGGTGGGTGATCTCCACATGCTGCAGTCCTCCCTGCGCTGAACTACAACAGCAGGGGCTTCTTCTTCCCACAGAGTCCCAGGGGTCCACCATAGGCCACAGGCAAATCTCCACTTCTCCAGTGACTCCCATGGATGACAGGGGGGTCAGCCCTGCTGTCTCATTATGGGATACAGGGGCACTCTGCTCTAGCGCACCTTCCCCACCTTCCTCCTACTGACCTTGGTGTTCGCATCAGTGTCCTTCTGGTAACTCTTCCTCACAAAATCCCAACTCCCTCTCAGGTTCCCCTTCTTAAGCACGTTATCACAGAGGTGCAGCCACCACCACTAATTGGCTCGGCCTCGGCCAGAGGCTGGTCTGACTTGGAGCCAGGGGAGCTTTCCAGAAACTTCTCACAGGGGCCACCACTGTAGCCCCCTCCCCTGCTACCAAAACCTCCGTTACACAACCCCAGCACACCTTCCCACTGAATGCTGCCAGCCTTCAGTCTGTCATGGCAACACATTTTTTTTATATCTTTCCTTCTCTTCCCTGATGCGTGTTTTAGCAACACTGACCTTTTCCACATCTCTAAATACTGCCTTCATTCAGCTAGGGGCCAGCCCATGAAACAGTATAGATTTTGGGGTGCAGGACTCTTCCAGAGGGTATTAAGGTGATGTGCTTTACATTCTGAAAAGTAACTCTGAAATGTATTCTGCTTAGAATACCTTTCCCTAACCTGAATAAGGTGAGCAGATGCAATGAAAACACACATCACAATATTCACTGGGCAAACTAAACAAAACCAGAATATAAAATCTGTACTAAAACTGAGCAGAGCTTCTACAAGGTTTTTTGCTGCCCTAGGCAGATAAAAATTGCCGTCCTCTTTCCTTATCTGTACTCACTCTCTTTCAAAATTTTCCACCTGTACTAGCTCTTTTTCAAAATTTTCCACCCTGCCCTGTGCAACTGTTACCCCTTCGGGCTCCAGTAAATCTTGTAGGGAGATCCAAATCCTCAGATACCTGCACAGTCCCTATGCCAGGGGATGCTGCTCCAGTAGCAGCAGTGGGAGAATGGAATGTGTATGTTTCTACCGCCCTGACCAATAGTCTAAGCTACTAGTGTAAACCCAGGCAGTGGGCACCCTAACTAACTGGAATTAGCAACAAAGGCAAAAATTAGGCTTCAGAAATTATAATATACCCAAAACACTGTTAAGAGCTACAGTCTTGCTCTTATTGGGTCAGTCCTTGTCCCCTTAGTCTTTGACCCTCAGTCACCTCACTTACAGCATACATCCCTGACATGACAGCTGAGGAATGCCAACCTCAGAACTGATGCAAGGAAAGGTTTTATGACACTTGCAGGACGCATACAGATGTCAGATCTATGTCATATTTGTCACATATAACAGATTCTGGATATATAAAACAGGTTATCATTTACATATCTGCAGATTCAAAATGCAATTACTTTTTTTCTGAGTTGCCACAGACTTCTGAGAAAAGTTCCTTGAAAACAAAACAGCTGGTTCCTTCTTAAGCCTCCAGGGTCTTCATCAGAGCCTCATTGCAACACAAATTAATGGGTTTAAGCACAGGTATCACTGGCTGTGAAGAGCAGCAGAAGTGCAGCATATGCCTTCCCCAGGCAACATGTTTTGAAAAAAAAAAAAAAAATCAATTCTGATACACCCACGTCTGTAATTTCAGTATTATTTATATTCTAAATACAGTCTGTGAGACTGAGTAGCTTAAAAGGCAATTGTAGGTTTTATTTTACAGAATTTCCTGTAAAAATGTTGGTAATATTTTTTCTTATTCTTACCACATGTTACATTTTTTTTCAGAGTAACTCTATGGAAATTATTTATAAGTATGAACTTATAAATAAAACTGCCTTAGGGAAAGCTGTATTTTAGTATGTGTGAAGACAGTAAAGACAAAGAAAATATTTTCTCTTAAAATTCAGTACATCTTATATGCTTTTCCAGCAAAATGTACAACTCTCTGTTGCATTTAAGGTGATGAATTAATCTGCTAAGAGATGAATCCCCTTGCATTCTAGCCAGTCCTCAGAGATTAGAGGGGTTAGAGGCAGCTAGATTTATCTCTTAATAGGTATGCCATTATTGCCATAACTGTAGGCCTGACACCAGATGCACGAACAGCCCGTGTGGTGTAGGTCCGGTGGCATTCGAGAGTAGTAGTCAGGTTCACCAACAGTACAGTTTATTCTTATGCAACATCTACAGATTCTTTGAGATTGCCTGTGATAAATGCACAAAGTGCAGGTTGGCTATATAGCACTACACAAAAAGAAAAAATATTGCGATCACACACTTAATTCCCATACCCAAGGGCTCAAATCTTACCAAAAGGCATCCCTTCTGGGAGGGGCAAGGAGCACAAACCTGTCGATCTGTCCCTCCGATTTGGTGTCGGATTATCATCCCTCCGAGTTAGATACAAACTCGGGGTAGTATTTATCTTAGTATGTATGTGTGAGTGGGTGGGACTGCAGTCAAGCCATTATCTTTTGAATAACGACACAGCACATTCCTTGGTGCGAGGGGTTCACTGGTTTTTGTGGGAAAAGAGGGAGGATGAGAGACAAGGTCATCAGGTTACTGCGAAAACCGTCCCTTGAGAGAAGGGGGTAGAGCAGGCCTTGAGATAAGTGGAAGAACGGGACCGCGCGGCCTCCACCTCGCTTCACATTCCTCCTTAGCGCCACGACAAACACAAATCACTGGATCTCCATCCTGTCCTGTGTTTGTTCTGGGAACCCTGTGTCAAGGAAATGTGTTTTTTACAGATTTTTCACTGGTTTGCTTTTCCCACACTTCCAATACTCTCTTAGAGACACATACACATATCAGGTTCACTTTTCATCATTATTTTGTACCAGAAATACACATTTTCCTTTTTCCTTTCCCTTTTCTTTCTATTTTGTGCTTATTTATGGTTAACTTACTGTTATGCAACTGGATAGACTGGAGCGATGGGCTGAGGCCAACTGGAGGAGTTTCCATAAGGCCAAATGCCGGGGGCTGCCCTTGGGCCACAACAACCCCCAGCAGCGCTACAGGCTTGGGGAGGAGTGGCTGGAGAGCTGCCAGTCAGAGAGGGACCTGGGGGTGCTGATTGACAGCCGGACGAACAGGAGCCAGCAGTGTGCCCAGGTGGCCAAGAAGGCCAATGGCATCCTGGCTTGTGTCAGCAATAGCGTGGCCAGCAGGGACAGGGAAGGGATCTCACCCCTGTACTGGGCACTGGTGAGGCCGCACCTCGATTCCTGTGTTTAGTTTTGGGCCCCTCACTCCAAAACGGACATTGAATGACTCGAGCGTGTCCAGAGAAGGGCTACAAAGCTGGCCAAGGGTCTGGAACATATGTCCTATGAGGAGCAGCTGAGGGAACTGGGGGTGTTTAGTCTGGAGAAGAGGAGGCTGAGGGAAGACCTCATCGCCCTCTACAACTACCTGAAAGAAGCCGCAGAGAGCTGGGTTTGAGCCTCTTTAGCCTAGTAGAAAATGACAGGCCAAGTGGGAATGGCCTCAAGTTGCACCAGGGAAAGTTCAGACTAGATATTAGGAAGCATTTTTTTCCAGAAGGGGTTGTTAGGTGTTGGAATGGGCTGCCCAGGGAGGTGGTGGAGTCCCCATCCCCAGAGCTGTTCAAGAGTTGGGTTGATTTGGAGCTTAAGGATATGCTGTAGGTGGGAACTGTGCTAGGCGAACAGTTGGACTAGATGATCTCCAGGGTCCTTTCCAACCTAGATGATTCTGTGATTCTGTGAATTTATTTATGTATGTTGAGCATAAGCATGTTTACACATATCCACTGGCACTTGTTAAAAGGAGGCCTTACAGTACCAGAAAGCCACATTGCCCATGAGATAGATTTGCAGACAAATCTGACTTATTTAAAACTGTCAGCATTTGTATGTTCAAGGCTCCACCTAGTTTTTGCTTATAGACAGTAAGTCAGAAATACAGGCAGGCCTGCAGTCTGTAAGAAGGTACACAGGTCACAGAACACCTTCCCTCCCAGAACAACAAAACCTCTTCTTTTCCTGTCATATTGCTCAGTGGCTGACAGCATTAATGTCTCACAGACTGTGCAGATAGAGCTTGGAAAGGCAGGAACACGCTGAGGGTTTTGGTGTGAATGTTAACTTGTGCACAGACTTCAGTTCTCCTCTTCTATACATTTCAGTTGGCAACTGAGGAACATGCTTCTCCTGGGTTATCTTTCAAGCTTAGTGGACATATACCAGAGGTCCACCAGCCTCTGGGAAGAGAAAGCACCCAGCATGAGGAGTACAGCAAGTCACACATTGCAGAGCTCTTGTTTCTGGCTGCTTTCACTTCCCTAGTCTCTCATCCAACAGAGAAGATCTTTAGGTGAATAAACCACATCACCCTGAAATGCAATTCCTTGGCAGCTTAAACAAACCTAAATTGGGTGCTTATGTGACCAGAAAGGGAGCTGGACCACTTGTAAATTTATCTTACTAAACACAAAACAGTAGTTTTTGGCTGATTCCTGGACCAGCACAACTTCCATGGATATGAATGCCTACAGTAAGAAGGTTCAGGAACATGCTGCCAGGAAGAAGAAAGGACCGCAGCAGCTTAGCCTAGTAAAGCTTTGACTGCCACAAAACAGTATTACTTCCAAGATAATTTAAGACAACATGAGTCAGACGCTGCAATCCTGCCCACAGCTTTGCATTGCTCTCTCATACTGCTGCCCATCCTGCTCATACTGACCTTTGGACGAGTCACTTTGGAAGTCTCACTTCATAGAAAATTAAATCAGAAAGAAAAATATACAGTTCTCTGACACTTTCACCACTCAACCTAACTCACAAAGGGGTAAGTAAAAATCCTGTGCCAAAGAAAAGAAAGATGAGAGCATGCAGCTGAGGGAAGGAAAGAAATGCCATGGGACAGTAACAGCATCAACCTAGCCCGACTTCAGACATTAACCAAGCTGTGGGTAAATGAACACCTTAAGCCAGCAGCAACTGGCACTGCCACCAAAAGCAGCAGCTCTGTCCACTGCCCAGCACCTGCCCTGATGCTGGCACAGCCATTTGTGCTGCCCTCCAGCTAGTCTTATCAGAGAATGGATGCAGGTTAAAAAAGCCATCTTCTCCAGAAGGCGTTTTCAGTTGTATCAGAGGATGTGCTATGTTTTTCATAATAAAGTGCACATCCACTGCTGAGCTGTGAAATTTTTGGTACAGCTCTAATTTTGCACTATGTCTATGAAATGAGTACATTTGAATGGCCTCCACAGCAAGAGCTGTGTGACTAAAGCTGATAACCAAACTACATATAGAAGTAGTGCCTCACCATCATGTGCAATAAATATCTTTGAAAGATTTTTTAACATCCATTTCCTGAAATTTAACAGCAACAAAAAATTCATTTGG